CCCATTTTCACCTCGAAGGCTACGTCAATCGACAGAATTGTCGCTACTGGTCGCCGAGCAACCCACAGCAAAACCATCAGAAGAAATTACACAGTCCTAAGGTAACCGTTTGGTGCGCGATGTCTGCGACACGAATGCTGCAACGCGTAATAGCAAATATGCGTCTACGTTGGCAGGAGTGCATACGCCGTGGTGGAAGTCATCTCGACGACGTTATTTTTCGTAAATAATATCCGCATTAGTGAGCTTGGATTTTGTATTAATTAAAACAATATATATGCAACGGTTGATTTTTTATTATTTTACTAAAGTTAAATTCTGGAATGAGACACCCTATACCTACACGATAGAATACATCCCATCAAAACAGAATGGAGCGGACGGGTTGTCACGTTGGCCCGCGGCGAGCGCAGTAGACAAACAAACAAGGCAGGTACCGGAGCAAACTTTTTTTGCATTTCGCACAAAACGCTGTTTTATTAGATTATAATGAAATTAAAAAACAAACGGGTCGGGACCACTTGTTAGGCAGAATAATAAGGTATATACGTACGGAGTGGCCAACTGATTGTGAAATCAAGACATTACAACCTTATTATAATCGTAAGCAGGAATTATATGAGGAACTGGGGTGCATCTTATGGGGACATAGGGTGGTAATCCCGGAGTCTTGTAGGGAAAAGGTACTTACAGTGTTACATGAGGCTCATATGGGGATCGTAAAAACCAAAGCTTTTGCAGAAGCTATGTGTGGTGGCCAGGGATGGACGAGGCCATAGAAGCTATGTGCCGGGGGTGCGGGGTATGCGCAGCGGAGGCGGATATGCCACCGCGACATGCGCCGTGTCCTTGGCCATGGCCGGATAAGCCTTGGTCACGTATACACATGGACTTTTTAGGACCGATAGCAGGGAAACTTTTCCTCGTCATAGTAGATGCCAGAAGTAAGTGGATTGAGGTTAGCCAAGTGCCAAGTACAGCAGCGGGTTATACGGTTAAAGTACTTAGTGACGTCTTCGCAAGATACGGTTTGCCTAAACAAATCGTCTCTGACAATGGGCCACCATATACAAGTCAGGAATTTGCACAATTTTTAGATAGTAACGGTATCGAGGACATTTTTTCAGCGCCATACCACCCGGCATCGAATGGGGCGGCAGAGAATGCAGTTCGTACTGTTAAAAGGGTAATTAAAAAGCCATAAGAGAGAACAAAGACGTAACATTATCGTTGAATAGTTATTTACTATATTATAGGAACACGGAACATTGCACGACGGGCGAAACGCCAGCAGTGTTGATGGTAGGTCGTAGGCTGCGTACCAAGCTCGATGCACTCACACCGAGCCGGGAGGACGCGGTTAAAAAGGCACAAAGTCGCCAAAGGGACCAGGGGCCGAAGGGGACACGTCAGCTAGGCAAGGGGGAAGAGGTTTGGTTACGTCAAGGCGGGGGAAGAGAAAGATGGGTGCCGGGAACAGTAGAGGAAAGGATAGGTATTACGGATTATAGGATAGTAGATGCTTTAGGCAGGGTAACACATAAACACATCGATCAACTAAAGAGACGGATACGGAGTTCATTGATCGGCCCTTCTATTCCGACACAGCCAAGTGGGCACGATGCCAAGCGCCAACCGCGGAGCCTGGAGAACCCAGTCCAAGCAATAGGTCAAGGGGCGATTCACCGAGAACCCCCGAGACGCCAGCCGATGACGCCCGCGACAGTTTCCGTTTCTCCTAACAGCGGTGGGCAGGATGAATTCTTTGAGAGTAGGGAGCACCAGAGCCCGGGTACCTTTCAGGCTTCAACACCTACCCCTGAACCGGTTCAACCTCGTTGTATTCGACAATGTCGATTAAACAATCCACCTAATTATAAGTTTTGATTTACTAGTAGTCATTTATAATTTACCTAAGTTTAGTAATAAGTATGGTGTTGGTTTATATAATTGTTAGACAATAAGATAGGCTTACCTGTAATAGATCTAAGTAAGTAATTAGTTAATGTAAGTTTATTTTTTTAGTAACAGTTGTGTCAAATAAGGGTGGAGATTATGTAGTGTATGAGTGAAGCGCGTGTGTGCGTGCGCACGAATTGAGATACCTAAATGTACCATTGTAGTGTGCTGTGCGTCAGTCACCAATAAACCTTGATTCGTATTACACGTCGTTTCTTTATTATCTCACGGCATATGTTATATGAAGCGTGATTTTCATTTGAAGGCTTATAAGATTCAGGTAGTCCAAGAATTAAAACCAGATGCCGCCTTAACTGTGTCAATTTGATGCTCGACCGGTTCAACAATTTCAACAACGTGATGTTTAGTGATGAGGTCAATTTTCACCTTAATGGCCATGTGAACAAGCAAAATTGTCGGTTCTGGTCAGAGACTAATCCCCGACGCTTGCATGAACGTCCACTTCACAGCCCTAAGCTTGTTGTGTGGGCTGGGATATCGTCAACCGGTATTATTGGGCCATACTTTTTTGAGGACGAAAGGGGCAAACGAGGGCAAGCGATGACGGTTAGAGCTAACAATTATTGCAACATGATAAAAGACTTTTTGGTGCCAGCTTTGCAAGAACTTCAAGGCAATACCTCGGGGATGTGGTTTCAACAGGATGGGGCCACATGTCATATGGCTAGGGTATCCATAGAGAAAACTCATTTCGAAAAAGGGGGATATTGAATGGCAACCACGTAGCCCCGATCTCTCTCCATGCGATTATTTTCTATGGGGCTACCTCAAATCGGTAGTCTACGAAAATAATCCGACCAATTTGGAGCAGCTGAAGACGAATATTATTCGGGAAAGTAGCAAAATACCGAAAACAACTTTTAAACGAGTTTTCCAAAATTTGCGACTTCGGTTCCTAGAGTGCCAAGCAGCCGAGGGAGGTCATTTGGACAACACTATTTTTAGGTCTGAAAATTCCTGTGTTTCTAGTTTTTAAAAATACAAATATATTTTTGTTATGTCTCGTAGTTCTTTTTTACTTGAATATTGAAACCGCCAACACCCTTATGGCCCACCCTGTATTTAGTTCTTAGTTTAATATTTATGTTTTTTATATCTTTTTTCATTTCAAACTTAATATACATAGTTATTCATACTACAATAGGGAAAGATCCCCAAATCAGTGATCTGCGGAACGCCTTACGCACAGGACATATCCTTATGTAGAAAAATTCGTATCGCGAAATTAAATATCTATAAGTTAAGGAACTGTTATTAACCTACGTTAATTGGTATATTTAAATATCAAAGTTAAGTGTTTTCGTATTACTCGATCCTTAATGTAAAAGTGATTTGAATTGTGAAGTGAATTGAACGTGATAAAACATACAACAGGATAGCAATGTCGAAATGTGGGGAATGCAATGAAGGCCTCCTTGATGGGGCAGTTTTCTCATCATGTAAACAGACTTTCCACTACAATTGTATAGGAATAACAGAGGGAGGATATCGAAAACTGGGTGATAGAAAATCTACTTGGCGATGCCCTAAGTGAAAATCAGGTAGACAAATGAATATACCGACACTTTCTCCAATGCAAGAACCATCACGTAAGTTGTTAGAAGAGATAAAAACCCTGTCATCCGGAATGACAGCCTTCAAAGAATTAGTAAGCCAGATAAAGTTAATGAGAGGATGAGTTTTCTGGGCTAAAATCCTCAGTCGTAGACAAAATATAGAGGATAGGCTTTTGGATGTGGAAAAAACCAAATAACTAATTAATAATTTACAAAGCAGAGTTGATGTCTTAGAATGTGAAAAGGATGCGATTGAGCAATGGAATAGAATGAACAACGTTGAGTTAAAGGGAGTAACACAGACGGCAAATGAAAACCTGCTTGATTTAATAGTAAGCATAGGATCTAAAGTAAATTATGCTGTGACAAAACAGCAGTTAAATTTTATAGCCAGCACACCATTGAGGGATTCTAATCATCCGAAGCCGATTGTTGCGTTTCAACAGCAGGTATGTTAAGGAGAACTTTGTGGCGGCATTCAGATCATTTAACAGGGAGAGTTCCCTTTCCACCAACCTTTTAGGACTTAGAGGCTCCGCCAAAATATTTGCAAATGATCACCTGACTTCTCGCAAAAAGATTCTTTTAAATAAGACAAAGCAGTTAGCCAAGGAAATGGACTGGCGGTATGTTTGGATCAAGCACTGCAAGATTCAAGTGCGAAGAATTGATTCATCGCCGGTTCTCACAATAAAGTCAGCCAAAGATCTTCAGAAAATAACGAAAGGTGTGACTTTATTTTCGCACGGGAGTTATCGATAGCAATTTGAGTAATTCTCACGTGGATCTTCCCTCATGCAGAACTCGTAAACTTATTTACATCTTTAAGACTTATAGCAGACAATAGAATTATTAAAGTAGTACATCAGGCTTTATGTCAGTCAATTTTAAGCTATTGTATCACTGTGTGGGGAGGTTATAAAACCAATCTACTAAAACTTGAAAGAGCCCAAAGACCAGTGTTTAAAGTAAGTCACTCCATACCGTTTCTTTTTCCCACTAAAGAGCTTTATGCCCTAGCCGATGTGTTAATAATACGTCAATTATTTATTCTCAACACAGTTTTAAAACAACATTATACGACCCCGATTTAAATATAAACAAGCGGATTAAACATAAAGTTTGCTGTCGTATTACACAATGGACAACTTCTTTTCGCAAAGATTATTTGGTTTCCTAGGCTGTTACCTATATAATAAATTAAATGAAAAAAATAAGATTTACCCACTATCTAAATATGAATGTAAAAAAACGGTTACTACTTGGCTGAAGACGTTGAGTTCTGATGAAGCAGAAGATTTAATAACTGTTACTTTGTAACACACCCACTCGCCCACACAAACACACACACGCACACCCACGCACGCGCGCGCGCGCGCGATCACACACACAAACACACCTAAGACTAAAACAGCAGAAAGAAGGTATCTGCCATCGGAATTAAATATTTATAAACTTTATAAGATGTTTATGGAGAGTGATGACGCCCACACAAGTGTGAAAGGTTCCTATTTTCGCCGAATCTTCAACACTCACTATAATCTTGGATTTGGTGCTCCGAAAACTGACGTATGTTCAAAATGTTTAGAACTCAATGAAAAAATTAAGATCGAAACTGATCCAAACAAGAAAAACGAATTAATAATTGAAAAAAGAGTTCACTCGTTGCGCGCAAAGGCTTTTTTCGAAAAATTAAAGGAAAAAGAAGATGGCTTGAAGATCATATCTTTTGATTGTCAGAAGAACCTGCCTCTCCCAAAAGTCCCAGACCAGATTTGCTATTATAGCCGTCAATTATATTTCTTTAACCTGACAATGGTAGAGGGCTCTTCTACCCTACCGATGATAAAAGAGCGCGTTTTCTCATACTAGTGCGAAAACAAAACCCTTTGCTACGAAGAATTTGATAAGGACCTAATAACATTCAAACAAAGGCAAAATTCTTCAACCAGTTATGAATCCAAAGGCATTAAGAAAAATAATATATAAAAAAAAATAACAACTAAAGGTTTAAGGGAAAATCTTAAGGATAACGAAGGTATCATTCACATAGATTTTAGTGAAAACTATGCTTTAAAATATGAGTCTGAAGTTCAGGCTTTTTATTTTGGAGGAAGTAGGCAAGAGCTGTCACTACAAACTGCTGTCGTCTATTTCATAAGGAAGGTAAGTTCACTAACTAATCATTTTGCACAGTAACTGAAAATCTACGTCATGAGTCTGCAGCGGTATGGGGTCATCTTATACTGCTACTAGAATTTGTTAAATTAGCTAATAACAATATTACTACTCTTCACATTTTATCTGATTGCCCAAGTAGCCAATATAGAAATATGTTTTATGTCATCAGTAAATCAAATTGGTATTTCGATGGATTAAAACGCATTACATGGAACTATAAAGTCGCGGGTAGGCGCGGTAAGAACTAATATCGTGTCATGTTTGTTTGCGTTTTAAAAATATAAATATCAATCCAATCTGATTAAAAAGTAGAAAAAGTTAAGCAGAAGTGCGTAATAAAGCAGTGGAAGTGTTAGTTCACTAATTCATATCACACATCCACGAAACTTCACAACGCTTCGTCAGTTACTTTTAAACAAGTTTTAACCAACAAAGAGGGTCAAGAAGTAAAACGAAATATGTACTTGGATTGCTGAATGTTTAACCGAAGAACTATCAAGAAACGTTTAGGAAATGAAATCAATAAAAATAAAGTAAATTGGCCGCCGGTCCAAGCTAGCAGGTATGTTTACCTTCAGAGTATACACTAACACTACTCTGTACGATACATTTTGTTACTCAGAAAATAAGTAACGTCTGGCGGCCCTAGGCTCTTGCTCTAATATAGAGAGCTTCATAGGAACAACAGAACGATTAGCAACTCTCAACATGGACATTGAAGGGGACAGTATATTAATTATACGCACCCACAGAAAAAGCAAACAAACATGAAATTGACAAATTTTATAAGACCATAAAAAAGGTCTTTGAAACAGCACACACACACACATCATTCTAATAGGAGTCTTCAATCATAGTTGGAGTCCCCAGTAAAAACGAATATCTAGCTATGAAACAATACGGAAACGGCGCAAGAAACGATAGAGGTCAGAGACTTGTAAACTTCGCGATAGAACATGAATTAACAATTATAAATACCTGTTTCAAGAAAAAATAAACCCGCAGATGTACTTGGCGATCATCAGGTGGACAGTACAAGAACGAGAAATTGCAATTACTTTTATGTTATATATGTGTTTTATCGGAAAACACATAATATATAAATAAAACACATGTTTCTATTTCCTTTTTTATTTTGGTGTGTATACCAATAATTACACTGCTTATATTATCATATCCAAAAAGTGTTAGATTACCTACCTATGTGATTTATATAGACTGTTATTTGCCAAAGTTCATTAATACTAAGACTGACGCTTTAATTTAAGTTAATTTTTTTTAATTTGAATTCGTTCAAATTATTTTTTATTTTATAAAAAGTTATAATATCTCTTCTAAATTTGATACTGTGTCGGAAATTGTGTTTTTTAAATAATTAAATAACATCACTGCCTTTTGTGTTTTACTAATTACCATTCCTATAATATAATTACCATTCTGAAATTCTCTTTACCATTTGTTTAATTTTTCATTACCGTTTGTACAATAATTTCAGATCCAAATTGTGACGTATATCTATCTATCCGTACCAGGCGTGAATAAGTTGACAAGCTGACATGTATGAAAATTACGATTCCACCGAAATTGGCAAAAGGCATCTGGATGGCCTAATTTATATGGGGATTACTCCCATATAAATTAGGCCATATGGGGATGAGTAAGTCGATAGGTTCACTTATTTTTGATACACTGCAGATGTGAATAATTTAATAACTGACATCTAGATATATTTAAAAACAATATTGGAAATAAATTTAACAAATAAACATACCATGTTATGACCAGCACCTATTCGAATAAAGAAACTTAACACCAGGCCAAACTCCAGCACAGCAAAGATACCTATAAAACCTAAAAGAAGAGTTGCTCCGACGTCAAACTAATGACGAAACAGACCTAACCATAAAATATACAAACGGAACACCAGCAATAATAAAAACTTCTTCAAAAAACTTATAATCAAAGAGGCAATAGCAAATGTAAACATTAACACATATCAAGTGCTCAACAGCTACAATGTATGTATGTCCCATTTCTCAAATTACAAGTCTTGAACCAATTTTTGTTTGTTGAGCCGTTAATATTTGAATAAAAAATACTGAAATACCTTAAATAAAACAGTAAGCATCTATTTAAATCACAATTATATATTGACTATAAAAATTTGATTAAAAAATCGATACGTGAATGCTGTACTCAAAATTTTTGAACAGTCCCCTGATAACATTTCAAAACCGCACTTAAGTCAAATTTTGTATTGGCGCTATACGTTAACCTAGTGAAACGGAACGCAATCAATGCGAAGTTCTTTTGGGTGAATAGATCATTGAGCAGTCGCCATTTATTTAGTGTCACCACTAAGTCTTTCAGTGAACAACGAGTCTCGGCCGTTACAAAAGACAGTCCACTGATAAGCCATTTTTTTACTATTTTAAGAGTTACAAATATTTGTTTACATATAATTGATTATTAAGTATGTAGCCACATTTTATTTCGTGAATGTGATAAGTGTAAAAAATCATGTTTAATTAAACTAACAGGAACAAAAATGACAGTACCCTGGCCGACAGTCCCCTGTCAATTCATGACACGGAGCATTGTTTAATAACGCAGGGGACTGTTTTCTGTGGGTTTTCTCAAGTCTGCGATGACAGTTTGCGCATCTATGATCAAAATCATTAACAATTTTATTGTCTCTTCCTTAGGAAGTATCTCAATATGCCACCCAAAAAGAAACCAGCCAAAACACGAGAAGAAATAATAGAACAAAAACGTATAGCAGAACGTTTGATGAGAACACTTAAATGGGAACATTTAAAACCTATTTTCAAAACTTTACCCACGCATGTTACTGGCATTTATTTTGTGAGCGACGGACCAGTAACACAATATCGAAACAAAGCGGCGTTTTATATTTAAGCTTCAAAGCTTCATGTTTGCTTCAAAATATGAAGACGTTTTCCTGGTTCTTTAGAGAGAGTGGCCGTGGAAAGAGGACCGCAGATGGTGTTGGCACTACATGCAAAAGAACTGCAGATGGCATTGTTGCTACAATAAATACTCACAATAAGGCACTCCTAATGACTGAAAAAAGAGTCCACAAATTGCGTGCTAATTGTTTCTATGAGCTTATGAATAAATATCAAGAAAACAGCCTATCATTTTGTTTTGATCTACAAAAAGTTCAAGTACTACCTAAAACAACAATACAGGACGCTTACTACTCTCGACAGATAAGTTTGTATAACTTTTGTGTAGTTGATGTACAGGCAAAAAACACAATCTTTTACTCTTGGATTGAGTTGAAGTCTGGTAGAGGGGCTGTTGAGATCTGTTCTGCTTTGTACTCATTTCTGATTGAGCTAGACATACCTGACCATGTAAGAACACTCAGATTATTTTGTGATGGCTGTGGGGGGCCAGAACAAAAATAGTCATTTAATTCATCTTTTAATGTGCTCATGAATAGTAATAACAACATAAAGGATATTGTCATTGTTTTTACAGTTAGGGGACACAGTTTTCTTCCAGCTGATAGGGTCTTTGGAAGGTTAGAAAAAGAAATCAGTCAAATATCCATTATCATTAACAAAGAAGTATACTATAAAATATTTGCAAAACATGGAAAGCACATGATCCTGGGAGAAAACTGGTTCCTCTATGATGTCAAAGGTTTAGAGAGTTATTATAAAAAACTAGAACTCTTGATTGTAAAATAACATTATTTAAATGAAACGCAATCACTTGCAGTGACAAAGAACGACTAATTTATTCAAACACATCACAGATACAATAGACCACAGTAATACATTTTGACATAACTGTCAGTAGATGGCGTTACTTGTACCATTTCTATATTTTGATACTTTCAACACTTATGAATACTATAGGTTTGAGAGTAATGAAAACTTTTTGTCATTGTGTAAGAAAGCTAAAAGACATTCTAGCGCACTAGAAAAACTAAATGTCGGTGATTCTATACTTAATTCTAATAAAAAAAAAAGATGTCTCTAATCTTTTAACTAAACAGTTTGGTGATGATTGGATGACTGTACCAGAATTAGAATGGTATAATCGTGTAATCAATGATAGTAGAAGCAATGTCAGAGAAGTTAATGAAAATTGTGAGCATAGGGATGACGATAATGAATCTTGTCAGTGTTTGGAACAAGATATAGGTCAATTGAGGGTGTAGATTTAAGTATGCTGCCTGCACAGATTCGCATTTTTTTTCATTTGTAGAAGAATACATTGTACCTATTAAAATAATTTAGAAGGATTTATTAAGTAACCAACTTAGTAGTAATTAGGCTTAGTTTATAATATGTCTAAGTAAATTTCGTTTGATAAGAGAAATAAACACTTATTCATTAATTTTAATTTGTTTTTATTTTTTTAACTTTTGGTATTTATATACATAACCATACAGTCCAATCATAAAGCTATATTTACAAATGAGTCCAATTATAAAGTTATATTTACAAATGAGTCCAATCATAAGGTTATATTTACAATTGAGTCCAACCATAAGGTTATATTTTATTAGGTGTCTGACCATAAGACAATAAATAGAAGATACTTTTTTTTATCTCTTAAAATTCTGTGTGTACTACTATTATTATTATATAGTATTGTACTACGGGTAACTTAGTTCCCTCCTTCAAACATAGAGAGAAAAAAACAATTACATTTATAGCTTGGTTCTTTATTTCACTATTCCATTGTTTCCTGAAATTTTACTTAACATGTAGATATAACTTTTTGGGTAGACACTCCTCAATTGTTAGTTTGGATTCATTTATAGATGCTGTGCAAAAACTATGTCCTGCTATTACAATCTTTGCAATTGACGATGCTGCAATTAAATATATGACTAACGATATTCAGAATGATGCCAAGTACCTGAAAGGTTTCAATGGCACTCATAAAATACATCAGAATAAGGGTAAAATATCAAGATGTCCTTTGGGACTACTACAAAGCACTGAAAAACTTATAATGAAAAGTTTAAGCAGCTGTGAAGAAGAATGCCAACATTTTAAACTAGGGGTTATCAACTACCAAAGAGCAAAACTGCGCTTCGAGGACGTCTACACAGACTCCGAAGACGAAACCAGGCCAGCCGATTTCTCCGCTGATAATAACATTATTCCAGAAACCGAAATTTCACGACCGTGTGAAAATTTTATTACTAATTTTGACAATACTTAAGGGCCTAGTACAAGCATCCAACAGCAATACAAAAATGGTGATAACGTTTTAGTTAGGTGTAATTTCAGAAACACTGAATATCGTTATGCTGTTATTAATAAAGTAGATGATTCGGATGGAGAACTAACAGTATCTTTTATGAAAATTTGTGATGGCCCAACTTCAGAATGGATGAAGATGATATTTCTGGTGTCTGTTTTGACCAAATACGGCAGAAATTACCACAGCCAGATCCTTCTCTAAAAGGGAGAAGATTATTTTCCAATATCCGTTTGTGTTTTTGAGAAACAATAATTTTAAAGATAGTTTCCTGAAATGCCATGTTAAGACTGATTTTATGTAAGACATTGTAAAATTAATGCCAATTACTTTAATAGTACAATTGTCTTAAATACTAAGAATGTTGATTGTGATATTAAGTTAGTATAATATGTAAGAACTACGCATTAAAATTGATTACTTTCATACTAAACTTCGTGTTTTTATTGATAAAAACAATCCCTTGAGCGTTTACAACAGTCCCCTGTCACGTTTTTGGATAAAATCGTTGATAACTTAAAAAACCAGGACGAAAATCAGTGGGCCTTTCTAAGAGATATATTTATTTTAATATTGTCTTTAATTTTATTAACAAACATTCTCCACATCTAACAAAATTTTCTTAGGACAGGCATGTATGGGAGAGTTTCCAAATAGCAGAGAAACACCCATACCTCGCGCGGTAAGAGCTGCCATGCGAATGTACTAATACTACTACTATGACATATGCTTTCCAAGGTAATTTTGTAATTAGGTAATTTTGAGAGTTGACACCGACACCGTTGATTTTTATGCAGGTGCAGTCAATAACAATCCTTAGGAGAATATTGTACGTAACCCAATAGATACAGTAGCAATAGATACACTGATGGCTTGACCGATCGTACAGTTACTAATACAAAAAAAAAAACAGGAAAGAAAGGGAAGAGTGTAAGAAGCAGAGGAATGCTGGTCAAAGTTACGTTACTGAAAAAGGTAATCAAATACCTGAGAGACACTTAAGGTCACTATGCAATTGTAGACTGAAATGTATGGAACGGTTTTATGAAAGTGAAAGGAAACAATACTTTGAGGAATATTGGGCTTTGGGAAGCAGAGACAGAAGAACAATGTTTATTGCTAGCCTTTTAACCATATTACCAAAGAAAACACAGAAAACTGACAGTAGGACTCTTAACAGAGATTGTTTCTGTAAATATAAACTACTGATAAATAAATTAAAATTTGGGGTTGGGTTTGGATCTATGCTTCTACGGTTCCCAGCACATGCTTGCATTGCATGGTAGCATAGGTGCAGACCCACCCTACCACATCCTTCTGATGGGTAGGGAGGCGTGGCTTTTGGGGGTAGCACAAGTCGCTATAATCCCATCAAAGCAAGTTTGGTGGACTAATCTTCTTGAGGTTGCCGACCCTGTTCTTGGTCTAATACCCTATGTATTAGACGTAACTAAAACCACCAAGCGAACTATTGCAGGGATGGAGAGGTCATGTCCTTGCGAGTTCATCGTCCGAAAAGAAAGGACGGTGGACAGTGAATGACCTCCCGCGTGTTTGTGCCGTGCGCGGGGACCCGTACGGGAGGATGAAGGAATCCTGGGGGTTGAGTGGAGTAGTGCGCCGGTTACAGTTGTGCGCTGCACACAACACACCTCTTTGGTCTGAATTTCTCCTCACACGGGAGGCCGGGGTTTAGCTTACCACGGTCAATCGGCTGTGGTAAGCTAAATAAGCTTATGGGAATAAGCGGGTGGCCGAGCGAGAGTCGGGGTGTGGGGGGTGGCCGTCGGCGCGGTATGGGACTCGGGGTGAGTTTGCGTCATCGTCTCGTGATGCGAACAGCTCCGTACTTCCTTGCTGCGTGCGGATGCGTCTGCCTCCCTGCGTGCTGGCTCTATACCAAAGGAGTAGCTCTGCCTCTCCCTTGCTCAGCAAGCGACGTCCCCGACTTGAGGGCTCCGTGGCGGGTGGAGAGCTCCAACGGTGAATCTATACCATATCACCTCATGGATAAAGAGGCTAAAAAACATAACAAAACAAACAACAACACCAACAAACCCAGGGTTGCGTCTTTGGACGTGTCGCGGTGCAAGTCACCAGTGGCACGATACTCGGATGCACCCATACGGGCAGCGTCCGTGACTCCAAAGGAGAGGGCAGCGGCTGGGGATACGCCAAACCGGGCTGTACCCCTGACCGTGCCCACTCCGATGGAATCCCAAATACCACAGCACAAGGATGTGACCACTGTTGCGGCCAGGTTGACTGCGTCGGTCGAGCCAAAGACAGCAACTCCGGATGATGATACAGCGATGTCTGCGTCTGAAGGAGGGGCATCCGCGGCAAGAACAATGCGGAAGACCGAGGCTGCGACGGAGGCCACGTCCAGTGCACTAACCCCGACCATGGATATGTCGGCCCTGAAAACTGCAATTCAGGAGCCCACTTTCAAAATGGTCTTAAGCCACTCTAAAAGGCGACGGCATAGGAAAGCCAAAACACAGTAGAGAGAGGCGGGAAAAGGACACCGAAGCCAAAAAGGTCTACTGCCGCGCCCGAGCCTGGTGGCTCTGGGTGCGGTAAGGGACCTAGAGTGCTTAACAAAAGCTCACGAGGCAGAACCGCCACCTCAATATCAGATCTTGGACCCTGACGCACGAACGAAGAACACAGGACCTTCAGGCGTATCTCTCTTCTTTCGTGTGCCGGAGTTTGAGATCTCTAAGATCAAAGAACACGAACGGCGTATATACTACCTGATGAGAACATCTACATCCGCATTCTGGATAGAGATGAACCCTCACAGGTGGCCAACGCCCCACCAACTGCTGCCAGCATTTTTTGATAAAATCGGTGAGATCGCATATTCAGCAAGTGTTCTTTTAAAGTCTAGTGAGCTCTGCAATCACCTTAATACTTTGCCTTTATTAGTAAATAAATTTATTGAGATACGTATAGCAAAATTATCCTGAATTTATTTAGCTTACATATAAACAAAGAATTAAGGTACTTATGCTATTTATAATACAAGTAATAAACAAAGAAATACGTTCTTTTTTTCAGCCTTCAACAATAGGACAACAGTAGGACCTGCTGCAGAAAACTTAAACAGTGAATTATCCTACGAGTACGTTATACCCATGTGTTTGACTAGTAGTCAAAATACACTCTTAACAAACCAAACAAAAATATTGGAGCAACTTAACTCTATCCAGAATGTACAAACTACTACGATTCAGAAAATAGCATCATTATCCGTTCAATTAGACCATGCTATGGTGCAAATTAATAACCTTTCCCAAAACTTACAAGTCACACCATTGAGCGCATGCAAATCTTCACCAAGTAATACAGCTTTTTACATCAAGCCATTTGAAACTGTTCAACAATTGGATGAATTAGAACTGGAATTGTCAAACAGTGCCAATAGGCAACAAAAAAAAGCAATTGTACTCTGTTATTTTCGCTGGTGGCAAAGGTATTGATTGTGCTTACACGTTAGCTGATGTATTATTTTAGAGAAAGTTTCTGCGCCAATGCTCTTGGATTGGAGGCAGCCGGGGTAACAATGATGCTAAAATAGCCTGAAAATCTTATAAAAACATTTTGTCTTTTTTCTGGGAGATGGTGCACACTTGGGATAACAAATACACAGTTTCACATAATGTTGAATTTTTCCAAAGTATTCTAAAAAATGCCAAAAAGAGGAATATGGCTAAAAAAGAAAGTGCGTCTACATCAAGGAAACGCACAAAACGATAAAAAACCAGTCTGTAAACAACGAAATTGAATCTGACGAAGAAGAAACATCTGTAACAACTGGAAAAAAGGCTAAAATAGAGGAAAAACAAATAGAAAAAAATGAAAATAATGACGAAATTTCTTTTAAGCAATATGTTGACAGAAGAGGCGTAGTTGAAGAAGAGATAGAAGAAAAAGGGAATGATGAAGAAAACGCAAAGACTTCAGACTTATAATTGAAGAAAATGAATGCAGTGTCGAGGAAAAAGATCATGAAAGAAGAAATGATTACGAAACTTCAGAAAATGTCGACTCTAATATCGATGAAAATGAAAACACGGAGGAAGAAGACGAAGATCACGAAAGAGATTGAGATGCTTCAAATGATAAAGAAAGTACAATAGAATTAGATGGACCTTTTGAAAAAATTACATCACCCAAAATAAAATTGAAGAAGAACAAGAAAATAAAAAAGAGAAGATGAATTATTACAACTCAAATATCACAAAAAATAAAATAAAAAATCTCGATGAGAGAGAAGAAAGGGTATATCAATCCAAAAGGAGGTGAACCTGCCCATGATACTGAATAACTTTTCCCTAGAAACATGTGTCGAAAAAAGAAAAACATTTTTTACCTCCCATACAAAATTTCCGATCAGCTGACTCATTTAGTATTAGTACGAGATCCGACCGCGTGATTTATACGTTCATATGTTTGATTAATAAAATATAATTTTTATCGATATTTATAACTAAACCAATGCAGATCCGCAAAGGTGGCCATCCAAATTTGGCCGCAATTAATTTTAATTAAAATGTAATTAATTATTTATTTTTGAACAATTACGTTCACTTGTAATTGTTAAAAAATATATTTCATTAGAAAGAAATATACCTGAGATACCGAGAAAGTTGAAGGTGCCATCCCTCACTTGGCCGCAACCTAATGTCAGCCAGGTGTAAACAGGTATAATTTCGTTAAATATATACGTTCATAATGTATTATCATGTTATACATACCAAATTGAAGATTAATTCTTTCCCTACATGATGAGATATAGGTGCCTATGCAAAAATGCCCGCAAATAGTGACTGCCAACGATTAAAGATAAATAAAAGCGAGAGAAACTTAAGATAAACACCCCATGTCGAATAAAGATAGAGCATCCCAGCTGCTTGTCGTTTTTATGCTACTGCGCATGCGTCCATAGGCAAGGTGCTCAACTAAATACCGTACTGAATATTGCAATCATATGTTTTTGACAGTCTTATGCGCCACGTTGTTTTTTTTCAAGTCCAAAATTATAAAACTTTGTTAATATTAATATTGATATATTTCATTCTTAACGTTATTAAAACGTAAGAATAAAATGAAGAAGTGTTTTTTGTTGTGTAATGAAAAGCAAGAAGTGCTTAACTTTAGTGATGTATCATTTAAAAAGTGTTTTTTAATGATATTGTTTCGACGTCACAAAAATTTTATGTATCATAACCTAAAACTTAATGTGGAATCAACAAATGAATTTGGTTATCACATGAATTGTTTAAAAAAAAGTTATTACTGTAAAAAGTAAATACAAGGAAGAATTTGAAGAATTGTGTAAAACTCAAAATGTAAGTACAATTTTTAATCACACAGGACAAATGAATAATTTTATAGCTACTAAATATAAATATTATTGCGTTGAGTGTAGGTTTAATAGTACGATGTTTTTAATCTAATAAAACTTGTATAATAGTAGACTATCTTTTTATATTTAATAATGTATAAAATAATGTTTAATACAGCGATATATACAGAAATTTTCAACTACCTAGTTTTTCATCTAATACTAAAATTGAAAATTATTCCAATGATACTTATTTCTCCACGAACTCAGGTAGGCAAACCTTTAAAGAACGAACTCAGGTAGCCAGACCTTCTTTAAAAAGAACAATACTATCTATCGAGTATCGTTTAGGTTTTTTTTTGTTACTCCAAGATGAACATTGTACATGATTTTGAACTGACAGTAGTACTAAAATGTATGTTTCAAATTCGGGAAAAAAATTTTTTTCTGTTTTTTTTTGTTATTGAAAATCAGTAAACAAATAAAAATATTTCATTTGATTATAAAAGTTTCGAGCTGTCGATATTGTCTATGGGATAGCTGTTTTTAAATTTTTATTGTCGAATAAATACTCAAAGTACTTAACTATTAGTCTCATTACTGAAAAATTTTTATTGTTGATATTTTATAAATGATCAATGACAGACAATTTAATTTTAACGAAGTTTTTTTTTCAATTCATAGGTACCAAATCTTTCATCGCAATGTTCTGAGCCGAGTACATCTGTTGCGAATCAACAACCGAGTGCATCAGTCTCTGACCAAGAGACCAATCGTATATCTGCTCCGAACGACGACATCAGTAGCTCATCTACTCAGCAGGAAACATTGGAAGAACAACCAAGTACGACATCTGAATCAACAACAAGAAATAAAAAATTAGCTTGTGTTTTTTGCGGCCACGTTGAGAAGAAAGTTGGTAAGCGACGACTTTATGTAACGATTCCACAAAAAGAGGCAACTGTAACCGAAATCAAAGAAATGGCTGAATCATCGCGAAATTCGTCATTAATTAAAAATTTAGAGGACTTTCCGACTGTCGCTTACCATTCCAACTGTTTTACAGCTTTGAAGACAACTTTGCAACGTCAAAATAAAGAGAAGGCAGAACCAGGACATTGGCATGCGAATAGGCAATTGCACCAGTCAGCATTTGCTGTTATTTCAGATGTTATCACCATGGAAATAATTGAAAAAAATCGAGTCATGTTCCTTTGTGATTTATTTTCTCAATACAAAGCTTTATTATTAGAATTTGGTGAGAATAAAGTAAAAGCCGAAGACTTTCACGATTACCGTGCTGAAAATTTAGAAAATAAAATAATAAATTCCTTTGGCGATCGACTGATCATAGAGCCATCTTCTGCAGCACACAGAAAAAAAATTGTTTATCAATTTAAGATTGATACCTCTCAATTAGCTGGTGAAATTGCTAATTTAGAAGAGAAACAGCAAAATCGCCATAGGGACGTTGCTTATGAATTACGAAATAGCATCACCTCTGTTGAAAATAAGAAGTTACCAGCAGATCTTAGCGTGGACGACGTTATTCGTGGAGAGTGCACCATTCCAGAAGAATTGTTTAACTTTGTTTGTGACTTGGTTCAAGGGCCGGATATTCGTCGCAAAAATTCAAACGAGGATTTAGTTAAAATTAAATCAGTGTGCAGTGACCTTATTTATATAGTTTCTAAAGGTCGAGTAAAACCATCTAAGCATCTTACTCTCGGATTAGCAATGAAGTCAATAACAAGTTCCAGAAAAGTTCTTTCAATATTGAATAGGTATGGTCATACTATCGGCTATAATCTAGCCGAAGAAATTGAAACGGAAATGACATACGCAACGCAAAAAGACGAAAGTTTAGTACCATCCGGCATCCGTAAAGTTAACGGATTAAGTACGCATGTTGCTTTTGACAATTTCGATCGTTTTGTCGACACTGCTACTGGTAAAGACACTTTACATGATACCGTTGGTATTATATACCAGTTCAATCATAGGATTAATGAAGAAAGTGGTGATATGGAAATCTTGAATTGCTCTACATCACAATCTAACGATGACAACATTGAATCTCATCCGCCTCGTAAAAGACGGCGTTACGAAGGAATTCCACAAAGTATTCGAACTTACTACAAAAAACCTCTCACCAGTATGCCTTTTGTTCATGTCGATTCAATTACACAGACTATCGATGCGTGTCAATTTGCGAAAATAATAGCTATGGATAAAGATTATATTTGGAGTATGTCTCTATCACGGATTGATTCTCTCCCCATGTGGTTGGGATACAATTGTAAGATTTGTATTGATTGTAGCAAAACTCAAACAGTCGATTACTTACCTCCTATTAATTCGTCTCCTACTTCATTAGCAGTTGTTTATCAAACTCTCTGTACTGCTAAGGAAATTGCGAAAAATTGTGATCAAGAACAGATTATCGTCACTTATGATTTGGCAATTGCAAAATTAGCTATGCAAATACAATTACATGAGAAGCCTGAATTCGATAATGTGTTTGTAAATTTAGGAGCATTCCATATGCAAATGGCATATTTCAAAGCCATTGGTAAGTACATTGACTCCAGTGGATTAGTGGAGATTTTGGTTGAAGCTGAAGCACTAGCGGGAGGATCAATGGTTAGCTTTTTAGACAGCAAACATTTTAATCGGTGTAAGCGATTGCATCCGCTGGCATCTGGTGCCTTACAAGTTCTTCATTTCGAAAAGTATTTATCGGAAAAACAATATGATCCAGATACATTGAATGAAGATTTAGCTGCTGTAATAAATACCCCGAGTGAAGACAATGAACGTATAATTTTACAGGACTCACTACAACAAATACTTGAAGATTACAAACAGTATCGAGAAACAACGCTTCAGGGTGGCCATGGAAAGACCGCTCAATATTACTTGCTATACTCGGAAATGATTAATATTTATCATCGATTTTCCAGAAGTATTCGTTGCAGTAACTTAGAGCTCTACCTAAATAGCATTTTTGAAATATGTGATTATTTCTTTGCATTTAATCTACCAAATTATTCCAAATGGGCAGCTTTGTACTTAAATAATTTAATTAAGCTGAAAATGGACGATTCAGCTTTGATTGCGGAATTTCGTCAAGGTGCATTTGGTGTTAGGCGTACCAATTCATGTTTAGGTAGATCACCTGTGGACCTAACATTGGAGCAAACGATAAATGCAGATGCTGGTAACACATTGACTGGTGTTAGCCACTTCACTAACTCTATAGCTGCAAGACAAAGGTGGGCTCTTAGCCATAGCATAAGAACCAAAATTTTATCAGCTGTAAAAGCGGAAGTTGGCCTATCACGGGCAGATGATACTTCTCATTCACTGCAAAAGAATCAAATAGAGAAAGACAATAAAACGCTGAATAGAATTATTGAAACAATGAAAAAAACAACGAATCCTTTCAGCGAAAATTTGGATAAGAATATTTTATTCAATATGTCAACTGGTAAAGCAGCATCTTCACACGTTTCTGATTTTTTATTGAATTGTAAGACATTAGGTCATGAACAAAAATTACGTTTCTTTTCGGAATGTTCTGAAGATCCTACAAGGTTTGTGAAATCTATCAAACGTAATGTTATTTCTAACTTTGCATCTGACTGTGCAAAAAGAACAATTAAGAATAAAAGTAAAGACAACCAAGCTCTATTAAAAATGGAACGCGATATTTTCGGACGACTTTTAGCAATTGCTATCGAACATAAAGTTGATATTGAGAACTGCCTGTCGTATCCACTTGCACCTGTACCTCCGGCACTGTTCCACTGTACTGGTCATATGTATAAGACAGACAAATCTACTCTAAGTAAACATCTAAAATCAAAAATTGAAGTTTCAAATCCTGGACATATTGATGTAGAAATAATAGATGGTTTCTATTATTTGTATTCTATAGGTTCTACTCTACCACAAAGTTTTGGAAAAGTAGCTGAAGCAATACTGATAAAGCTATGCTCAACAAATAGCCAAGAAATACACATAATATTTGATAGATACCTTACTCCTTCTATCAAAGATTGTGAAAGATTGAACAGAGCGGAAATTGATATTCCATATACAATTAGCGGTCCATTACAGCCTAGACCCAAGGATTTTTTAGCAAGTTTAAAAAATTATCGTTTTAAAGAAGCTCTCGTAAAATTTTTAGCTGATCACTGGAGTGATAATAGTTTTGCTGCAATATTAAAAAATAAAAAAGTTTTCATTACGGTCGACGAACTATGTTTTTCATTTTCTTCGGTTGGAAATATCGTACTCAAGAACGAAGAACCTGAATTAGCATGCCTACATGAGGAAGCTGATACCAGGATTATTTTTCACATCAGTAAAATACATGACGGTGCAAAAATTTTGGTTAAGGCAACTGACACTGACATCTTAATAATATTATTAGGAAATATACATAAATTTGCCAACTTACAAATTTGGTTGGCAAACAGTACTTCAAAAAAAACTACCAATCAAGATCAAGCTTGCATTAACTGCACAAAATTATCAGTGGAATTAGGTCCGACCTTATGTCTTGCACTACCAGCATTCCACGCGTTTACTGGTTGCGACTATACAGCAGCATTTTTTAACAAAGGAAAAGTCCGCCCTTTCAAGATATTTTGTAAACACCAGAACATTCAAGAGACATTTGCATCATTAAGCAATCCGGAGGATATTCTTGATGATAACAAAATGATAGTAGTTCAGGAGTTTATAGCTCTAATGTATGGGATTAAAAATTGTCAAAATGTAAACGCTGCAAGACTTTTAATGTTTAATAAAATGTATGCCATGACTACAATTAATGACAAATTTATGAAAAAACTTAAAGGTTTCAATTCAAGCACTATTCCACCATGCTTGAAATCTTTGCAACAAAAATTATTGCGTACGATCTTCGTTAATTCAATGTGGCAAAATGCCACTAATCCAGATTGCATCAGATTTAAACCTGAAAATAATGGTTGGATTTTAGATGAAACTTTAAAACCAACATGGTTCATTGGAGATTCAATGCCACAGCAAGTAGAAGATGTTATTTGTGATTTAATTGAACAATCTTCAGAAGATACAAACGATAAAGATTCTGACGTTTCAACATATGAGAGTGACAGTTCTGATGATTCAAGTGACGATAGTACGTAAATGAAAATTTTTTCGTTACAAGTACTCCGATATGTATTGATAATTATCTAACTGTAAAATCTTTTTTATCATTTTTGTAATTTTTATCATTTTTTTTTAATAAAGAAGTGTTTGTATTTTTTATCATTTTTTATAATAAAAAAAAAGTTGCATTTTAAATCAAAAATAAATAATTCACTTTTTGTTGTCACTATCCCTATCAAATGAAAAAAAGGTTTGTGCATTTTTCTTTTAAAATATATAATTAACAAATAATTTTTTTAAACAAATAATAATTGTTAAATAAATGATTCCAACATTTTTTGTTTTCAAAAAATAAAACTGAAAAATTTATATTAATCAGATCAGCAATGGAAACAGAATTCAACAGAATTAAAAAATCAATTCTGTTTAATTCTGTTACCATTGTTTTTAATTCAGTTCTTTAATCAAGGATTCAAGGAAAATAAACGAAACTTTATATTGATGAAAATAAAAATAAAAAAAACATTTGTGTATAAAGATAAATTTTAATATAGATTCAAATTAACGTCTTACAGTTCAAAGTTATTGTTTGAGTTGGATATAATTAAAAAAAAAATTAAAAACACTGGTTTGGATAGTAATTTTTATGACATTTTTTATGAAGACCGAAATAAACGAGACTTAATATTGTTAAAAATTGTAATAAAACAAAATTTATTTAAAAGATAAATTTTATATTTAAAATGACGTTTCACAGTTAAAAAATATTGTTTTAGTTGAATATAATTAAAAAAATATTGAAAACACTAGTTTGGTAGATTAATTATTATGACATATTATTTTTACTGCTCAATTTTTGGAGTATTTTAAACTCCAAGCAAATACGCGAGCTACTAGTTGAGCACCTTATCTATGGACGCATGCGCAGTAGCATAAAAACGACAAGCAGCTGGGATGCTCTATCTTTATTCGACATGGGGTGTTTATCTTAAGTTTCTCTCGCTTTTATTTATCTTTAATCGTTGGCAGTCACTATTTGCGGGCATTTTTGCATAGGCACCTATATCTCATCATGTAGGGAAAGAATTAATCTTCAATTTGGTATGTATAACATGATAATACATTATGAACGTATATATTTAACGAAATTATACCTGTTTACACCTGGCTGACATTAGGTTGCGGCCAAGTGAGGGATGGCACCTTCAACTTTCTCGGTATCTCAGGTATATTTCTTTCTAATGAAATATATTTTTTAACAATTACAAGTGAACGTAATTGTTCAAAAATAAATAATTAATTACATTTTAATTAAAATTAATTGCGGCCAAATTTGGATGGCCACCTTTGCGGATCTGCATTGGTTTAGTTATAAATATCGATAAAAATTATATTTTATTAATCAAACATATGAACGTATAAATCACGCGGTCGGATCTTAGACTATATGGGAGGTCGAATGTTTTTAGACCCATGTTTCTAGGGAAAAGTTGTTCAGTTTCATGGGCAGATTCACCTCCTTTTGGATTGATAAACCCTTTTTGTTACGCGTTGTACATGCAGTATCTTTGTCTTAGTTTATTAAACTTGTTTCGATCAGACCAGTGAATCTAGTGATAAGATATTTTGAATAAAACCACAATTATTTTTAAAAGCTTGTTTTTATTTATACATTAAATAAACACACTATAATTCAAATTATAAAGTATGTAAAAGTGGTATAAACTACAGGAATCCGCCGTGGACAATACAGACTAGCTTACAGTTTACATCATCAGGGCTCAGAACGATATCAATTTTCTCTAAACTTATTTCGCAGACTTTGTAGATATGAACGATGACCGAAGAGGTTTTTCAAATACTAGCATTTTCCCCATAAGTTTTTTACCTTGTATATTTACCTTTTTAGCGTTAATTGATATATTTAGGACTTCAATAATATCATCAGTTTATGATAGAAAATATTTATTCCTCTCTTTACAATAAATTATAAAATGCTCAAAGTACAGAACCCTGTTCAATATCTTGCGTTTCACCATGTTTACTGCTCACATACATATTATGATTTTCTAGTCCTGTGAAAAATAAAATTATTTGCTATTATAATCACCTATAAAGTACTTACCAAAATAAATAAAAAAAAACCTGTACGGAACCTTGTTGAAATTCCCGCACTTGACCGACATTTTCGATGGAGTTTCTACGACAGTACGAACATTTTCGTTGACATTTAAGCTGCGCTGGATGAACATATTCGTTGCAAAAACTACTACAACCCAGACTAGCGTCATCAATACTTCTCTTCAACGAAGAACTATGATGCTGAACTGCATCACTGATACTGGTCACTGTTTGCAGTTTGGTGGTTTTATCGCAGGATGACACTGATTGATTTGATCTGATTATTAATTTGTATTCGTTAAATATTTTTCTTTTGACTTCTCCACATCTTTTTCGTTTTTTCCACGAACTCATAGCAAAAATTAAGCAAGCAAGAGCAAACAAACTTGAGAGCAAATCAGACTATACACAATTTTGAGGTTAGAGACATTATACAGCTATAAAGTAGGTAATATTTTATAATTTCAAGTGAAAATAAAAGTTACAACGTTTAAATTGTATTTTCATATTTCTTAGAATAACATAAAAGTAAATTCGAACACCGTTGTAAAGAACAGGGTTCTAAAAATAACTCCATAATACCAACTAATATCATATATAGTGGTTTCTAATTTCTAAATTAAATTGCTGTAAATAAGTTCCAATTACTTCTTTTGTAGCAATTTAGGTGATAAAAATATTTTGTCAACTATTTTCAAGAGCTTTTGTCGGTAGAAAGAGTTATTAGAAACTATAATATTACTTTAACTGTTTCGCGTTACTTGAATTTATATAAGAGTAAGTTCTATGATGGTTGTGACTATAACCTTCATACCTTCTTAAGTAATAGTCGTTGAAAATTACAGACCTATATCTAAGTTGTGTGCATTCGCTAAAATTATGGAAAAAATCGTTTACAGACAAGTATATGCAGCACTGAAACTGGACTTTTGTGAATACCAACACGGTTTTATAAAGGGTCGGTCGACTACGTCAAATTTGATCCTCTGTAGTGACTTTATATCAGACTCCATGGCTAATGGATCCCAGGTGGATGTTATATACACAGACTATAGCAAATGTTTCGACAAAATCGACCACAACATACTTTTAAGCAAGTTATCCTCCATGGGTATACGGGGTAATCTATTCAGATGGTTCTCATCGTACGTAGAGAATCGATGTCAGACTGTGGTGTTGAATGGATACTCGTCAAGAACTAGATATATACCTTCAGGAGTCCCACAAGGATCGCTTTTGGGCCCACTTCTCTTTAATATATTTGTTAACGACATCACACATTGTTTTCAGTCGTCCAAAATTCTACTGTATGCAGACGACATGAAACTCATGAAACAGATTAACTCTGTCGCTGATGCACTCTCTTTACAAGAAGATCTGGACCGCTTTCAAAATTATTGTGTACTGAACGGGCTCGACTTGAATGTATCTAAGTGTTACATTTGTACATTTACTCGCAAACTCCACCCCATTGCCTTTCCCTATAAACTTCAAGATTCTATTTTAGTAAGAGTTGGATCTGTCAAAGATCTGGGAGTTATATTTGACAGCAAACTTCTCTTTGATCTGCATATTGAGAGCATCATTAATAAAGCCACGAAAGCGTTAGGTTTCATTATAAGAATCTCCTCCGACTTTCAGGAAATTAAAACCATTAAAATATTATATTGCTCTTTCGTTCGTAGTCACCTCGAATATGCCTCACAGGTATGGAACCCAATATACAACATTTATATAGACCGCCTTGAAAGTATACAAAGAAAATTTTTAAGGTACATTCAATTTAAATCTAATTGTTACCTGCCTGACTATCATACACGCTGCAAAAAGTTTCATATTTTGCCTTTAGCTGAGCGTAGAAAAATATCGGACATTACGTTCCTAGTGTCTTTACTTAATGGTGCGGCTGAGTTGCCAGAACTGTTATCTAGGGTGGGCCTGTACGCACCATCATTGTTTCTGCGCGGACCAAGCTTATTGTACGTCCCCATAGCACGAACTACATACAGAAAAAATTCTTACCTATTGCGAGCATGTCGTTCTTTTAATGTGGCATGTCTGGAGCTTAATTTGGACTTGTTCTGCACAAGTGTTACTGCAACGAAGAAAGCCCTTTGTGACCGATACTTTGAGATTTAGTTTTAATATAGCCTTGAGAGTTTTTTGAGCGTTGGTGTGTAATGATGTGATAATGTGTAAGTGTGGAAACTGATAATTGGCCGTCATCGTGTTAATTGTATACTATTGAACCTTTTTAGCTGTAAGTTTCCCTAAAATTGTAAAATAAAATAAAATAAAAATAAAATATTAAGTTTTTAGGCAAGTTAAGTGGTATAAAACATTTACTCAGCACTCTTAAACAACACTTGGGAATAGTAAGACTTACTAGAAACCTTATTACTACTTAAGGTACTTATTGTTACTTGAGGTTACAATACCTAGCGTTACTGTGGTTCAGCTTAACTCTTTTATAACTTCTTAAGTCATATTATGAATTATTGTTACTGTTACTCATCTTAATGAGTTATTTAGTTATATTCATGACCATTAAACCAACAAAAGTTTTACTGGACACTTTTATATACCCGTTAAAACAATACAAACGATTAGAGTGGTGAAAATTAGCGCCAAAATGTTGGATGGGAGGCTTCTAGAGATTTCAAACAACAAAAGAGTTGATGATAACAGGTTTATCGAGACTATGAGAAATAACAAAAGTGACTGTAATGACGATGACAAGGAAAAGCATTTTGCGCTGTCTTTGGTGCCGTTGTTAAAAGCAGTCCCGGAGGAGAAAAAACTAGACGTACAGATCAAAATTTTACAAATTTTCCAGGAAGTTCAGAAACAAAACACTCAGCGCAATAATTATCCCCCATCCACAATTTATACAGGTAGTCCTCAAAATTTCCAAA